AAAGCCAAACGGCTGCAGTACAACGAGATTCATCCAAGCTCATCTGGTGAGATCGACCGACGAATCTCTTCTACATGCACTTTCATACGAAACGAAGGTCACCCTAGCAATACTCCTCATTCTCCACAGTTTGTTTTGCAGACGTTGGAGCACCACAATGTTCTGAAATCTTGTTATATCCTATTCGTTTGTGTAATGCTGCTTACTGTGACACATCAAGTTCATTTTTTCACATATATACATACACCATAGTATATAAGAATTATAATATAGTATAATATTCTATATTAGTATGTTATATGATTTGGAGAGTAGTCGCATATTATCGAATTGTGGCTACTCACCGTGCTCCAGAATAGGTGTGCTTCTTATGGCAGAAACCGAAGAGTTGTCACTTGAGTGGAAAGAAGCCGAGATGGAAGCAGGTGCATTCGACGAATTGGCGGAAGAGGTGGACGAGAATGCTGACGAATTGATGGCTGCCATTGGAGAGGAAGCGTTGGAACCGGAAGAAAGCGATGGAATAGACGAGGCTGGTGATGGAATCTCGCCCGAGTTGTCCTCGAGCAAATCGGAGTCCTGCTTTTTTAACGTCTGCCGGCCCAATGAGGCCATGGTTACAGGTAGACTGGGCGCTTTGTTGCCGAGTGAATGGGTTGCTTGCTGCGTGTCACCAGGTGATGGTGTCAGGGCGACTCTTTTCATCTTCAACCCACAGACTGACGGCCAACAGACCTCATGGCCGGCGTCCCATGTCACCGGGTCCGAGGGAAGAATGGTCGTCGCGGACATCTTCGTCACTGGCAGACGAGGTCGTAGGCCGAGCTGACAGACGAGGTAGTGCATCTCAGAGAGGCTTGCAGAATCGCCGTTCCACAACTGAAGTTGCAATTTTGTGAAAAAATTTCTTCTAATTTTTAGTCAGCATGAGTTTGTTTGAAAATTTTCAGAAAATTGTGAATAACAACTTGCTTGGTCTGGGTTGCTTAGGGTGATAGAGTCATTGATACGATATCCTTGCTTGATTTTTATAAGACAAGCTCAAGCAGGATAGTCGCCATGACAACTTTCTCAACTTTACCACAAAATGAGAAAGTCAACTTTCTGTGAGTCGATTGCACAAATTGGTAGATTAATATGCATCCTAATAAATAAGTGAATCCCAATAAATGGAGTAGCAATGTAAACTGAGACTAGACGAAGTGAAGAGATGTCTTTTCTTTCATATTCAGCAAGAGTGAATTTCGAAATTTTCACTTAATTACGATTAAGAATAGGTTACTAAGTGTGGCAGATTGTTTGATACAATACTATTGTTGAGCTTACTTCCATTTCGAGTGAAAGTTTTTGATGAAGAGATTCGAAGGTCGGTTTCACTAGAAGACGACGGCGGATTCCTTTTGACCAGCTGTCGATTGGCTTTACTGGAATATTCATGGCGACGCTGTTTCCGAGGCAATCTCCTTCAATTCCGGTGTAAAGGTGCCAAGCTTTCATCCTTCATATAATGGACATCATCAGAGCAAGTTATCATCGTCATAACAAAATTGTAGCTCACGAGTCAAGAAAACCTTATACTTGATCAAAGAGGCCAGATATAGAGTATATATACCACTTTTTAGGGACTTGCCGGTGAGTTTTCTTGACTTGTAAGGTTCAATTTTGTTGTGAAGATGATACCTCGCTCTGATGATGTTCGTCATATGACGGACGAAAGCTTAGCTCCTTTTCACCGGAATCGAATGAGATTGCCTCGGATACAGCGTCAGCATGAATGTTCCAGTAGAGTCAATCGACAGCTGGTCAAGAGGAATCCGGCGTTGTCTTCTGGTGGAAGCGACCTTCGAATCTTTTCACGCAACACTTCTACTCGAAATGGAAGTAAGCTCAACAATTATGAAACAAGATATTCCTCGAAACCCAACTTT